CCCGATCTTGATAGAGGCACCGCCGACTCGGTAACCGGAAGCGCAGACGTGACAGCGGATACTCTTTGCAGCTGAGAGTTGGAACCCGGCTGAGGCCGCCCATTTATCAACTGCCGATACAGTTGCTTGTGCTTGGATGCGGGTCCTTGCGATGGTGCGGCCGCCGGCCACAATTAGCACGTTATCTTCGTAGACGAGAATGTGGCAAACGAGTAAAGATCCGGTTCATCGCTATTAGGAAAATCGTTACCGCGATAACCGAGCCTTGCGGCACCCCTGTTTCCTCCGGGAAAGAAGAAGACTTGGTGTTCCCCACGGCGACTTTAAACGATCGTCTTGCCAGAAAGCCTCGGATAAAGGAAAGGATATTTCCTTTGAATCCCCAGGTGATGAGCTCTTGAAGTACTAACGGCGTTCATGTTCTGTTGAAGGCCTTGGAGATATCCAAGGAGACGATCTCCGCGTGGTGGCCCTTTTCCTGCGTGTCCTTTAACAGTTCTCCTAGCGAAGCGAAATACGTGGAGGTTCCCTTTCCCGCCCGGAAGGCGTGCTGCCGGTGGTCAAGGTATCCATTTTCTTCCAATGCAGCGCAAAGTCGACGATTGACCATGCTTGCGCAGCTGGTTAACGCAATCGGACGGAATTTATCGAATAAGAAATTGATTTTCCCATAGTAAATTCTGTGTAAACTTCAATTTTTTTTTCTTTATTAGAGAGATTTTTAGCCATAGGCTAGTTCATCTCTTAACACTGCAAATGGTTTGTGCCGGTTTCTTTCCAAATGAGATCAAATTTTGGGAGGCTAATAAGGACCCGAATTGGAACCGTTTGAGCACTGTGGAGCGAAATCTTCTATTTTGCAACAGTCTAGTGCGCAATGATTTTTTTTTAAAGAAAAACATATATTTCAAGCGTAACTATTCAAATAGACGTATCTGATTTTGTAAACAATCACTTTCATCGACGATTTGTGGCAACTGCCAGCTCACTCACAGAAAGTAACAACGCCAGCTAGTATGGGAAAGATTTCCATACCAGATGGTGGTGTTTGTTTGCGTGGGCGATTGTTTACAAAAGCAGATACGTCGATTTGAATAGTTACCCAAGATTCTTATGAGAAACTTGAAGAACATCTTATTTAGTTAGAAGCGAATCATAATTGATGTTGCTGTTGAATCAATATTTCTAAGTTGAGGAGAGGAGACTCGATTTTAAGACTAACATTAAATTAATAAATCCTGTTGAAGCGTAATCGCCAATAAGAGATTATTGTAAAATATACAATGAGTGATAGAAGGGTGGCTCTGTGTTAAAACTGCTCCACTTTCCTCTATATGTGCAATGGAGTAACTCAGCCGGAACTTAATGTCTGCACGGCATGAAATTCAATAAAGATAGCTGGGAATGGTTCCCGCTCATTTAGCCCAATATAATTTGTCTGCAAGTCGTTCGAAATTTGGCCCTGTATTGATTATTAGTTGCAAATCGATAATCGAAGTATAATTAGATAATCTGAATAATCTGATGTTAGAGTACTTCTTCTTCTATGCTTTTCACGCTTCTTTTTGCGAGCCGCCTGCCGGCTCTCAACTTAGTGTTCTTGATGCATTTCCCCTGTTATTAAATGAGAGCTTTCTATGCCAGCATGAGTTTGTGTATTGTGTGCCAAGCACACAGATGCTCCCCTCACACAGGGAAGTCGAGAAAATTTCCAATCCGAAAGATATCCTCGACCTGACCGGAAATTGAATCCACCGCCACCGGCTTGGCAATATCGTGACTTTACTAACAAGTCTATCTGAGGCCCCGTTAGAATCTTTTTTCATGGTCACTTTTAGGGTGATTTCTTATAGCGTCCTTTTCGCGATTTCACATAACAAAATACTTATTAAGGTTTTTGTGAGTGTACGTAGCTGAAACTACTACTTGTTGTTTGCCGCGGAGAAGCAAGCAATGTCCAAAATTTTCAGATTTATAAACCTCTTAAATCTTGAGATTTGTGCAGTGGCGTCTCGTGAGAAGATTCACTAGTTGTGCACTTATTTTATTTATATTTTGTCTGTAACAGTAGAAGCCAATTTTGATGCAGAATACAAAAATGGGATACAAATCTTTCGACGGGGATACCTGTATGAAAAATAAACGAAATGATGATGGGAAACAGTTGTGCTACCAGTTTCGCTTACTCTTGCATAGAAACATTAATTTTCTTTTTAAGTCTCATGTTTATGATATTTGTCATCGTTACTCACCATTTCATAAGCAGTACCGTAGAGTTGACGCCAATTTCCTCGAAATGCTCCACTTCCCACGCAATTTCCTCGAGCATGACACAACCAACAATTTCCACTTGTACATTTTCGGCAAAGTTCTGCGTTATGATTTTATGATTTATTTTACATGTCATTTTCAAGTTGTCCAACTTTGGCCGTGGGACGTCTTTTCTCGCAATAAGCATTTTTTCCTTCATGGATCTTCTGGCAAACGGTCTTTTCAGGAGGTCATTAACAATATCCTGTTCCATGATTCCTATTTAATTTTGCACTATGCTATGAACAATATTCCATCAATGCGCCGAGACTACTGAATGAAATGCAGTCAGGTAGTAGGAAAATTTAAAAATTCGATGTGTGCGTGTAGGTAGGTATACAACGAATGACGGCTCTCCAAGATTCAATCAATTCAGAGAGAAACTCAAATGCGACGTTGCCTATACGTGCCAATTTATTCTCTTCTCTTTAAACTGTGCAAAGATAGAAGTGCACAAAATAAACACTAACACATCGGCAATTATGCTTACGGGACTTCAATACATATGCAACTGATCTGGTTGTAAATACGAGCGTTTCTGGTGCACAAGCAAAAGTGCTCAGGCTGGGAGAACTAAGCATGCGGTGGCTTTGGAAGAACGAAGTCATATTTTCCTTGCTTGTTTTGTGTCGCTCATTCGCCACACCATAGAAGCCCAAAATGAGTTGTCTGCACGTGGTAAAATCCCAGCTATGCCTCGCTTCTGTTTTTACTTACTTTTCTTTCAGTGGCGGGTAAAACGGAGGTTGAGCAGCGATGTGCTTAGCAATTCAGCTACTATCCAGTGATGTGGTGGACAATTCAGTTACTATCCATATGAAACCAATAAATAGGGGGGACAAAAATGGTTTTGATTGAGTATTAAATTTTTGCCTCTTAAATTTTATGAAATATAAATTTCACTTTTTGAAAATTCGAGACTGTGCAGTGCACGAGGTGCACATATGGAAGAGACGCCACTGGATTTGTGCTCTTCAAATTCCGAAGCATGGTAAGAAAAAGGACAAAGGAAACACATTAAAAATTGATAACAAATAATGCACACGAATACGTCTAAATGATAGCAAATTTCGAAGAAAGTTGCAAATTCCTGAGAAAAATCACTTATTGAATGAATCCGAATTCACTTCACTGTAAATGTATAAATTCGAATAGAAATTTCAACTCGTCGATTAATGAATTCAGAAATGTTTAAAAATTGAAATCTTTTGAAGTGTGCTTCTTACGTCACCAACCGTCGTTGGCAATGTCGAAGCATTGTTCTGAGAAAGCTTCCAAAACATTCATTAAAATTAATGAGGATCAGTGTTAGCATCGTTTGCCTTCTCTGTGCCTAGAATTGGCAGCAAGTAAGCAGAGCTTGGTTTCTCGCAGCAAAAATGTGTTCTCTGTGAATGGCATCTTGATTGGTAGGAGATACTGTCGATGATGGAGAGAAAATCTTCACAAACGAAATGATTTCCAAAGAAAGAGTCGATTGTCAGTTGCCTCCATTGATAACAAGAAGAAAGCAAAACAAGTTTTCTGACTGATCCAATGAATGACAAAAAAAAAAAAGAAAATCACTTCGTTGATCATAATGACATTTCATTGAAAGCTCGCTGTCAGTTATCGCCAATTTCAGAAATGTAATCACCATACGAGCCTTTTGAGTGCCTCCTGTCTGTGTGGGTTCTTCCAACTTCCCGAGGAAATGATTTACGATATAATAAAGGCATCGTCCCATCTGTGCTGCTTCGAAGCGTTCTCATTGTGCACTTCCTCTAGAGTAATAAAATACTGAGGAGCTTTGTAGAAAGTTCTACTCTTTACGGAGTTGGTAACAAGCTCGTGTGTATTATGGCCTTTTTCATGGTGGATCAATATCACCCAGAAGTCTCCCCTGCTGATGCTATGAAGAGCACTCCTGTCTGGAGTGGGATTTGCATTCAATATTCATTCATTGCTGGGCCCTGGTACATTCTGCGTTAACCAACCAATCAATGCAACACCGGTTGATGGAAGGGCAAGAACCTAATATGGATGAGATTCAGTCTAGTGCAATAACCTTTTAATTACTCCACTGAGTGCAATTAATTACCGTATTTCAAATTGCTTCAATGATGCTTTTGAAATGGGATATTTGCAACATAGAAGCTATCATTGTATTGGATTTGTAATTCAAATGCAATACCTAACGTATTTTATACGGATAAGCTCTTATTGAAAATCACACAAGTCCTGTCAGGAGCCTCCCAGTAAAGGTCATGTTGGAGGTAGTTGTATCGGTTCCCAGGTCCATCAAAGAAATTACCGGTTTGTCTATTTTCTCGACTTCCCTGGATGGTATGAAGAGACAGTTACGCAATTTGTTTGCTTAGTTTCGATAATCACTCGGTCGAACCAGCATTCGAATCTCTGATTTGCTCCACTTGGTGCTGTACACTGACGTAAGACAAACCAATAAGCTGCTAACAATTCGAAATCCATTTAACCTTTCCAGCGCAGGCGACACAGTCCAACAAAAGAGGTGGATTACAAACGAATGAATCAACTTTCTCCTAACGATAAGCCGACTCGACCGGGGATTCTGTTCATCTCAACAACTGAGACCAATCGATAATCGAGAAAACACCATTCCACGTACACCCCATCCTAGGTACTTTGAAAGTGGAACTTTAATTACAAACCCCTCTCCGAAGGATACTTACCATACAATGCCTTGAGCTCCGGATCCGATCGGTTTCAGGTTCTGGTATCGCTTGAGAATCGTGAACTTGGTGTCACCCACCTCAACGGTGTAGAAGGAGTGACGTACGCTCATGTTGCAATTCACCAAATCTTTTTGGTGGTTTCTTTCCTCGGGATTACCCTCTTGACGTGTGTTTTCTAGTGGCCGCTATTATTGTCTGTTTCGGAGAGGGAGAAAAAGACGAAGAAAAAAGGATAATCATTAGTGAAACGTTGCTTTCTGGGTCGAGAACAGACTCGTTAATTGCTAATTAGCTGCGGTAGCAGTAGATGAAAGCCAGTTGAGAGAAATTTTCTACGGGTCCAGTTTAATTATCCACCCTTTCTGTTCCTGTGAATCATTGAAATCACTCCTTGGCATTAGTAAGCGACGAACCCGGATCATAGGAACGCAATTGAATAATTCATTTCACCTGGGCGCTAATAATGCTAGTCAACTCAAAATAGATTCACAATCCTCACTTTCTGAAAATGGCACGTGTGGTCATGCTTTTCCAAGCGAAAAAAAAACAATTAATGAAGCGTGAATCATTCTGGGAAAATGTCCAGCATCCTCGAGGGAAAAAGGATCTCCACCTGCCCGTGCAACCGAAACGAATTAATTTCTAATGTTGACTTGCCTTCCGTCACCGTCGTCGCATTTCTTCATTCATAAGCGATCAAGCGAGAGAACGAACGGAAAAAGCATCACTCTCAGACATGCTTAGAAAAGCTTAAATTGGATGCTTTGCTTCGGTGGCTTCCGAGCACAGTGGGTCACAGTGAGAGGTTGCTAGAAAATAAAATGTTCACCTCAAATTGATGATGAGCAAATTGGAGAAACCCATAGCATTTGCAATTACTCAACCATCTGCACTTGTTTTTCGTTGAAACTGTTTAAAAACAACGACCTTAACCATCATTGATTGATCTTGCATTGCATTTTTGGAAACATTCAAAATTGAATAAATATCGAAAACTAATCTTCACTCATAACTGTCAGCTTTGAAGACATTTCTAATTTTTTGGTGAGCATTTATTCACTGCAGACGTTTACAAATCATTGAAAAGATTTTTTTTTTTAATTTTCAATGATTAGAAAATATGAAAATAGAAAAAAAGAATCATTCTAACGATTATTTTGAAAATATACCAGGCGTCTAGAGCAAGGTGATATTGGGAATCCACAGCAACAGGCTCTTTGGCTAGTGCTGATTAATATTTTAACAAAACCAACCCACAACAAGGTTCTAAATACTGAGTGTCCAGCTGGTGACCCAGATCAACCTTAATCTTGATTATTATGAATTTTTGATTAAAGTATGCCTTGGTTATTCTCTGTAACTATGTGCAATGAAGTAAAATGGTGATTTTTGAAACATAAGCTATAGGCTCCTAAGTGACCTGGAACATCCGTAAAATTTATTGCTTCATAAATTTGATCAAAGTAGGCCATTGATTACAACTATATGAAATGTAGTAAAATGGTGAATTTTAATATATGAGCTGGTCATTGGATCTAAGTGGTCATTATTAATTGCTACGTGAATTTGATCAAATTATGCTTGGATTTGTTCTGATACTTTATGAAATGTAGTAAATTGGTGATTTTTTATATATTAGCTGAATATTGTCTCTACCCAAGTAACACACAAAACATATTTAAAAAAAAGAAATCAAAAAGCATGTTGTATAAGTGTATTTTAAGTGATGCAGAAAACATCCCGAGCTTTGGAAGCGCTCTTTAAAATGTTTTTGGCTACTTCCCAGATATTTTAGGTTTTTATAAAGGAGTTAAAATGATAATTCAGATGCCGCTTCCAGTACTTTTCAAAACATCTTTATGACGAACCAAACGCATTTTCTCTAGAATATGATTTTACTGCCATTGATGAAGAAAACCATAGATAGTAAGCCTAAGTTAGCAATCTTTCGAAATTAGTCTAGTTAGGAAGTTACAAATCTCTCACGCCAAGAACCAGTGTTTGAATCCCATGTTCATAATTTTTTTAAATTATATTTTGCATCTAAAATTTATTGGTTATTATGATGTTTTCCAAAACATGTTATAAGACCATAACTACTTGTACAAGCTCCTCCTCTCGCTTGGTTTTCTGTTCCTGAGCTTCTGTGGAGTTGGTCTACTCCAAGCTCCAAACCTAGCACGCTGAATTTCGAATCACATGTTCGGTTATGCCTTATTTTTGTTTTGGAGAAAACATTTTTGTCATTTAATTTTATTGGTTATGTCGATGTTTTGTAAAACATGTTATATAATCATTGATTTGTTTGTTAACGCTTCGAAACTTGCGCTTTATCAGTTGAATAAAAGTATGAAATGAAGCATTTCCAAATCTAATTGAACACTCAAATATGTGTTTAGGCCGTATTTTAAACACCTTTTTGACAAGTTCTGTTGCTTGGGTAACTGGTCACCCGATGGCCCGCCAGAAGATCTGGAACATCCATAACATAGCAAATGATGCCACTGATAAAAAAGTCGCTGAACTTTATTTTAAATGCACAAAACCGGAGAAACCTACTCTCTCTATTGAGAAATAAAGTAAATTTTCAGAATTCTAAATTTTTCTTAGGTAATTTAGTTAATTTTATGAAGTCCGAAATCTGATATGTAATTAAATGTCGCAGAATTTTAGAATTTGTTTAAGTTACTTGTACATTATTCCAACGGCACTAGGCCGTATTTATAGACTGAGCATTTCTTTTTATAAAACAATGAGAATTATATTCACACAGAATATAATTTACAATAATTAGAGGCTGGGCCAGTTTTTCACGTTCTTCACCTTTCGAGATTTCTGACTCAAATATGGTATTTTATAAAAAAAAAACAGGACTCTTGGACTTTGACAATATTTTCAGATTAGGAGACTCCGAATAGTTTTTGCATTTCCGGAAACGATTTCCTGGGAATACAAATTTTGATTCCCGAATTTCCTGGGAAATTTATATAAATTGTATTATTGCATTCAATTTGGCTGCAGTTTACGTCCCCTTTTGTCATTTATAATTTTTATAAATTGTTGTTTTGATTTGAAATCAGTGGAACATATCATCAGCAGAGATCTTCGAAAAACATACTGCTAGTGCTATAAAATAAACTACTCCATATATCTGCTGACGTCATTAGACAGTATGATTTTACTCACTCTTGACCATTCCGCCTGAAAGCATACCGTCATGATAAGATGATGTTGATTTCTATCTGTCAAATTATTTCATCATTCATTGGATGAGGAAAACGACTGTTTCCACCAATCAATTACAGTTGGTGAAATTAAAAAATATATATCTTAGTGGATTCAATACAGTTTAGTGTTTTTCTGCAGCTGCCTTAGGTGTTTGCAAATTCTTAATAGCAAGGGATCTTCAACGAGTGGAATGCTGTGTCATTTGCAGCAGAAGCACAACATCAGCCGACCAGTAACCTGAACCGTCTTCTTCGAAAGCATCCGCCATTCCATCGATGATGAATTTTGTGAAACGACGAGACCTGAATGAGTTGCTGAAGGACAATCTGTTAGTCTTGCTCTGTTAGACGAATGCACCAGCATGAGTAATAAGCGGTACATCAACATTAACACACATTCCGCGGACGGTCAGGTGATGATCAATCTTGTTTTGGTTTTGGTCACTGGATCGCTTCCTGACGATAACATTGTGGAAATCGTCAAAAAGGTTCTGGTAGATTTTTGATTCAAACCGAACGATGTGGTTGGGGCGAGAAAATTAAGCATCGAGAATGCGCTCCCGGATGTATTGATTTGGTGAGTACGTTCCAGTTGAAGATTGTTCTCTCTAAATATCCCTTTTTTGAATACGTTTCATCAATCAAACATTATTATATGTTGGGTTGGGGGGGGGGGGGGGGGGGCAGCCTAAGGGTTTCAATGGATTTGTAGACTGGACAAGTGTTCGTGGATTTGCCAGTCCCTTGTCACGTGTTGATAGACGTACATCTTGTCGTTTGTCTTCCAAAGGTCTTCAATGAAGTTGATTCACCCAGCTGCAACAAACCATCAGGCAGAACTTTACAACCAGTGAAGTATCTGCAGTCATATGTAATCCTTGCACTGATGGTGGGTTCTATTCACATCACATGTTCCCCTATAAAAAAGTGAATTTGTGTCGCATATATTATAATCTCATCTGATTCTGGATTTTACAGTCAGCTTCACAGGTGTCAACCTCCTGCCCAGGAATAAGGAAAACTTCGTTAAAGTCTCTTATTGTGTTTCCCTTCCGACTGGGGGACTTGTAGACTTCGGGGCAAACTTTCTTTGACGGTGGTGGATTATTCCCTTCGTTCGCCTCCGTATCCGAAACTGGCTACATCTGTTCCAATTCTGCTTCAGCCTCCAAGCGAGTCTTGAACTCTCTTTTTTTCACTCAATTGATACGTTCCCACATTGGGTTTGGCATGGAGAACTCGTCTTGAGAGAGTTTCGCTACCGCGTTTTTTTTCCGGCCAGTGTAGGATTCCAGCTTCTTTCCAACCAGAAAGAATTACGGTTAGGCATGTTTCGCATCTTTCAATTGTTTGTACCACTTTAAATGGCATTTTTTCCGCACTTGAACTTGGACGACACTAGCTGACTCCCTTCCGAAACATTTTGAACTGTCACTTTTCTCCAGGCAACTTTGTCATCATAAAACTGAACGGTACCAAGTCAAGTCAAAATGGATAATAAATAAACAATAAGGTATTCAAATTTACTTTATAAATGCTATAATAAACCATTGTGCAGCGATGATCGAGACGTTTCCGTCGGATAAGATTATTTTGCGGCCGAGTGTCTAGGAAGCTATGGAAACCGAAATGGCTCTTGATTTTGTTTTATGCCCTTATAGTATAAACCACCATCGCACTTTGTGAGTTGCCCCAATAGAACCCTTGCTTTTGGTTTGAATCAGTACAAATTCGTTCTATTATATAAAAAAAAAAGAACGAAGTATACATATTCATTTTCTTCCGAACTAAATAAACCACCATCACACTTTGTGAGTGGCCCCAACAGTATCCTTGCCGTTGGTCTAAATCGGGTCAAATCGGTTCTAATAATTATTTTATATTCAATCAAGTAAACCACCATCACACTTTGTGAGTGGCCCCAACAGCATCCTTGCTGTTGGTTTAAATCGGTTCAAACCGCTTATA